TGTTATTATTGTATAAATTATTCTCCCGGTTCTGTTTACTTCACTCTGCATCACTTCATCAGAATAACTTCTTTGAAGAGCCGTCATGTGGCAGAAAAAGTAGACTTGTTCCCCTTGGCTCCAGAGAGCAGAACTAGGGTTAATGGATAGAAGTGGCAGAGAGGCAGATTTCAGCCTGAAGTAAGGGGAAAAAAAAACAACCTTCCTAACAATTAGCTCAGCCTAAAATTGGAATACACTGATTCAGAAGGAGGGAGTAAATTCCCCTTCCCTGGAGGTCTTCAAGCAGAGACTGGGCAACCAATTTTCTGGGATGTTTTGGGAAATTCTCCAGGGTCAGGTATAATTGGACCAGATGGCCCCTGGGGTCCCTTTTAGCTCTTAGAATTGGTGATTCTGATTTCTCATCTCAAGGAAAATAACAATGCTATTCAATAAACTATCCTTAAGGACCATTGTCGAGAGATAAATCTGATCTCTAGGTCACTCTTCTCCTGCTCTTAAAGTGAGCATTCCACCATACTAGGTCTATATTCTATTAGCCAATAACCTTTCTCATCTTCTATATAGCAAGAGAAGAATTTCAGAAAAATTGCTTTCATTCACTCACCGGTGCTACTGATATTCTTTCACAGAATTCACGGGGGTTAAATCAGGTCACTACTTTTCCACACCAAGGTTGGCCAAGCAAGGGACCAGGATGAATCCAAGACAAGTAGCTTTTCTAGTCTGAACCTTTCATGTCTGCTAGGAAACAAAGGGGGAAAATCAACTACGGTGTCTACAGAAATAATCACAGCTAGACTGGACATAATTATGTCCTCAAGTCCACTTATGGATGACACTTTATTTTCATAGTTCAATGTCCAAAGAGTTTTTGTTTCATTTGAAAATCAGCAAACAAAAACAAAGGAGTTCCTGAAAAAAATGCTAGACCAAATCCAATGGCAACACTAGGTAGTATTTTTTTAAAATTATCTCTGAAGTGTTTTATGCACATTAGGTAATTAATCCTAATTAGGCATTACAGTAGAACCTCACTAATTCTCACCTAACTGATTTGTAAAAGAACAGCTTCTTCTCAGAAAGAAAAAAAAAATCAATCTTACCTCATTTCTTAGCAAAGACTTATTAGCCAAAAGTGGCAATGATATATGTAATCAGTGAAGCCTGGGATTTTCTTTCTAAAGAACTTATGTGAAATGTCTTTCAGGAGATGTGACATTTATAAATACCCCACGTCGTATTTTTTGTCCTTCTTGGGAGCATTAGCCTAAACTATTGAGAGAAAATGTTTGTGAGATATATTTTAGGTTTTGTGGAAATTTATTATAGTCCATCCTTTTGGTTCTAGTTCTCATTTTCTCTCAAGGAGCCTTGGCAGTGTTCCAGAGCCTAAAGCAGTTGGTACGATGTCACTTACAAACAGAAGCATCTGGAGGGCTTCACCATCAATAGGGAATCCCTCTTTGACATGGACCTTATACTGGATCTCCTTTTAGGACAGTGTTACGGCACATGACTTTTTAATGTCTCACTTAATATTTTACAAGGTTGTCTCTGTTTTATATCATTCAAGGAATCCTGACATAATATAATTTTGACATATGCATGAGAGATGCCTTATTACAGGGGAGCCTTAAAGGAGACAGTTCACTCTGTTGAATCAGATGTTTCTTGATAGTCAACAAACAATAAACACTGTGGGATCTTGTATTCTCTGTATCTTTTAGTCATTAGTGTGATGGAAAAGATACAGTCTCCTGTGGAATATTACTTTCAAAATCTTGTTTGTTTCCATCTAATACTATCACCAGTTATGTTTTTCATGTACATCTAGATAATTCACATAAAAATCTTATATACAGTACTAGGAAAGTAAGTTTCTGGGTTGATAATGATTTCTTGGTCACCTTTCTTAGGTCATGATGAAGTTGTATATCATGTGAGATGTATAACAATCAAGCAAACATTTATTAAGTACTTTCTGTGAGCCAGACATTGTGCTAAGCCTCAGTGGAGCTATGTGCTTGCTGTCATAGAGAATGTCTAGTATAGGATCCAAACAGAAGCAGATTATGAGGACCTTCAAATGTTCCTATTTGTTGATGACTAATTACATCAAGCCCTGGAAACTCCTTGACTGTAAAAGCATTGCAAAACCTGCTAAATGAGATCCATGATCACTTAAAAGAATTTGGCCTAACTATCCAAACACATAATACCAAATGGATGAAAAACGCTTCTTGTCCAGATTGTGATATACACTTGAATGGACAAAGCATAAAGCTGGTGCATTAGTATACGTATATATCCATACACATACATACAAATATGTGTTTGTGTATATATACATATATGTATAAATGCACACACATACACATACACATATATATGCAATAGATTGTGGTTGGGTAATGAATAGGACCCAGAATTAAACAGAAGGAAAATGAAATGAAATCTTTTGGGAATTTTTTTTTTTTTTTAGTGAGGCAATTGGGATTAAGTGACTTGCCCAGAATCACACAGTTAGGAAGTATTATGTGTCTGAGGCCAGATTTGAACTCAGGTCCTCCTGACTCCAGGGCTAGTGCTCTATCCACTGCGCCACCTAGCTGCCCCTCTTTTGGGAAATTGTACAGGGTTTTTGATAACTCCAAGTTTCTTTTATGAAAGAGGCCCATCTTTTTTTAAATAAAATTTTATGGACATATTTTACTTTCATATTTTATATCATACCCACTATAACTTTCTCTCCTCCCCTCATGGAGAGCCATCCCTCATAACAGGAGTCAGCAAACTACAGCCCTACGGACCAAATCTGGCAGGCAAAAGTTTGCCAACCCTTGCCTTATAACAAAGAATAAGAAAAGAGAAGAAGAAAAGTTTAGCAGAATTAACTAGCACATCAAAAAAAGTCTGATGATACACAGTGTTCCACACTCTTAGTCACCTACCTCTGAAAGAAGGAAGGAGGTGAAAGGCATATCTTTTTTAACATCATTATTCTTCCAGTGATGCTGTGAGGCTTCAAAGCCATGGCATACCCAAACCTTTGAAGAAGGTGTGAGTCACCAGAGGGTGATGAAGAGATTCATGCTAAATATTAGTTCTCTTTGACTCCAGAAGGCAGAACCAGGAGATATGGATGGTAGTTACAAAAAGGGAAATTTAGACTTGATGTCAGAAAACACTTGCTAATAATTAAAGCTGTCCAGAAATGGAGTATAGGACAGGGTGGCTAGGTGGCATAGTGGATAGAACTCTGGGCCTGGAGTCAGGAAGACCTGAGCTCAAATCTGGCCTCAGATACTTACTAGCCATGTGACCCTGGGCAAGTCACTTAATCCTGTTTACCTCAGTTTCCTCATCTGTAAAATGAACTGGAGAAGAAAATGTCAAACCACTCCAGTATCTTTGCCAAGAAAACACCAAATGAGGTCATGAAGAGTCAGACATAACTGAAAATGTCTGAACAACAACAAAAGTGGAATAGGCTACTGGGAGAAATGATGTGTTCCTTCTCTTTGGAGGACCTTCAACAAAGGCTAGATGACCATTTGTTGGCTATGTTTTAATGAGGATTCCTTTTTCATGTATGGATTGAGTTAAATTGTGAGCTCCTAGAGGGCAGGGGCTGTCTTTTACCTTTCTTTGTATCCCCAGCTCTTATTACAGCATCTGGCACACAGCAGGAATTTAATAAATGCTTATTGACCAACTGATTAGATAGTCACTGAAGTAACTTCTGATTCTCAAGTTATGAATAGTCTACAACAAGCTACAAATGAATCATTGTGCTGGAGGACGTCATTAGAGAAGTATAATCAGAAAAGGAAGTAGACCAGTCATCGAGTGAGGCAATCTAAGAGTAGTGAGGTGGTACAGTGGATAGAGCACAGGCCTCAGAGTCGGGAACATCTGAGTTTGAATCCAGCCTCAGCTGTGTAAACCTGGGCAAGTCACATAACCTCTCTGTGCCTCAGTTTCCTCATTTGTAAAATGGGGATGATAATGTTGTTTGTCCAAAGAGGACCTATGACATCATGTGTGTGAATTGGATTTAAGTGAAGCAGAGTTGAACAAAGTCATCAGCCTCACTCTCGCTTCCCGAGACACGGAAGTCCAGCAGCAGGGTACGAGAGAAGATGCCTGGTGATGTCCCAGGATGCAGTGGATGACATTGGCATCTTCTACGTCTGACCAAGCTCTAAGTGCTCCGCAGCACCTGCTTCAACCGCCTTCATGGCCGTTGAAACAAATTGTTCTCATCCCTCCAGGGGAAGTCTTCACATGCTTGGGGTAGACATCCCACTAACTCAGTGACATGTTTGAGGCCTGTCAGTTAACCTTAACCTGGTTTAGTGCATCTGCAGAGATGGCTGCCGCTTATGCTACAGCAGGGATAATAATAGCACCTATCTCATAGAGTTGTGAGAATCAAGTAAATTAACATATGTAAAGTGCATTGCAAATCTCTGAGCTCTAACATAAATGCCAACTTAAAAAAAATAAAAAGGGAAGTGGCTGGGTGGAGCAGTGGATAGAGCACCGGCCCTGGAGTCAGGAGGACCTGAGTTCAAAACCATCCTCAGACATATAACACTTAATAGCTGTGTGACCTCAGGCAAGTCACTTAACCCCATTGCCTAGTTGGAAAAAAAAAAAAAAGAATAACCTGATGGGATCAGCCAGCTTACCCCTTTGGTATCCACACTATGTTGAGAGCGTAACAGGAATCACTCAATAATATTTGTCAAACATCCACTGTGTGTCAAGCACTATTAGCCTCCAGGGATCTACAGTCAAAAAAGAACACAATCCCTGCTTTTGGTTGAACCCTCAGTAGAGGATATATGAGAGGACATAGACAAGAGTCACCCAGTGTGAAAATACAGGTCATGATCTGTACCATGGGACAGAGTACCCATAGCAGTGAGACCACAGAGCCATCAACTTATCCAGTTAACCGAAGCTATTATTTTCTGTCTTTGTGGCAGTCTGCTGAATCCTCTCGGCTCTCGTCAAGTAACGGGAATGGTGTTTTTCACGTTGGAATACGTTCAGAGAAAATGGTCCTGATCGTTACCAAACACATTATCTCTTAAATTTAATCTCCATCAAGGTAAGCTCTTAAAACTTTTTGTTGTCTGTTCATGTACTAGTCATCTTGAAATGGTAAGGGTCTAATTACTGTGGGTGACGTGGAAGGTGTTTTGTAGGTCTCAGAAAATGGGCTTCACGTGGAACAGTTTAGTGGTAGAACACTTCAGCATTATGACTGGGGCCATAGGAAACACTGAGTTAGGCATGCCGGCAATTTGCCAGTTATGCTTAACATTTTGTTTTCTTTTCTTAGGCCTGGGGTTGGGGGGTGGGGATGTGGATGAGGACTGAGGGAAGGCTAGTCTGCCAGCCTAAATTAATCAAGTTCCACCATGACCTAAGTACCTTCAGCCTCCTCAGGTCACATTTTCTTCTTTTCGCCTTTATCCTGGCATTTAAGGCCCTCCACAATCTGGCTTCTTCCTATCCTGTGAAGGTCTGTCTCCTTGCTGTTCCACACATGCTTTAATCAAATCCCCATGCATTTTGTCATACCTTCCCTACACCTGGGAACCATTTACCCATCCTCTCTATTTAGCCACATTCTCATCCTAGCTTAAAGCCCTCCCTTTTATGAAGGCTGTAGCTGAGAGAGCAGAAACCTGGAAACTAGGAGGCAAAGATTCTGGTCCCAGCTCTTCCTTTGACTACTTATGTGACAAGGTACTTCACCACTCTGGCCTCAGTTTCCCCATCTCTAAAATGAGGAACTTGAATCAGGTGCTCTCTAAGCATCCAGCTCTAAATCCCATGACTTCCTGAGTACCCCAGCTCAAAGTGAGCATTCTTTTTCCTTTTTAGAGCTACATACCATTTGATTATATGTGCTTATTTCCTCTGTCACTCACCACCCACTCTCTCCACATAATAAAAATAATCATGATGGCCATTTATAAGGCACTTTGCAGTTTGATTTGGTATTCAGGATCTACTCTGTTCTAATATCATCATCAGTCTCCACACTTAGGCATCTTCAGTTGAGGGAATTTTCCTTCTTTGCTTATGAATGTGGTCAGATCTCTCCTCTCCTTAAAACAGAATAAAAAAAAATTCTTCCTTTCAGTCTTTTCTCCTTCATGGTCAAACTTCAAGAAAGAGTCATTTACATTTGTGCTTTAAGTCTTCACCACCCATTCTCTTATTATATTATATTATATATTATTATATATTATATTATAGATATATATTATAAAAATAGCATCCACTTATATGGTACTTTTTGATTGATTTCTTATTCAGAACTATTTACTCTTATAAAACACACAGTTCTAACAAGCTTTGTTATCAGATTCCTAGCACAGAGCAGATTGGAAGGAGCAAATGAGAAAAGGAATTTGGAACCTGCTAAAGGATGGTATTCTGACAAAAGCAGAGAGATGGTACAGCCTGACATGGGGCAGAATGAGGCTAGAGAACATAGAAAAATTATGGGAAAAAAAAGACTGCAGAAAATGTGGCAACTTCAAGGAATTCACTGTAGGTGCCAACAGCTCCATATACCTCAATAACCTCTGGGGGCATCCCAGTTGCACATCACCCAGGCCTCATGCTAATTGGTTCCAGCAAAGCAAAACTAGAGTATAACAGGTAGTTAATTCCAAAGAGGGCAATGTTATAACTGGATTGGATGGCCATACTTTGGACTACAAAATTCTGAAATAGGCACAGAGAACACAGATAGCATAACCTTTATACTGCTGGTCCCAACTTCTCTCTCCTTATAGCTTTCCCATTTTCATGCTTGACAGACTCCAGGAGGTGTAGGATTCCTGGGAGAAGACAGTCATCCTTTTTACCAGTCTATTGGCTCAGTAGTTAGAACCTGGGGTTGGAGAAAGGGGTGACTTTGGGAAAGCTCCCACTTGGGTATGTGACTTTGCAGTTTGGAACACTATCCAGACCTATTTGGTAAACCATCTTTATGAGTTACCAGGGGCTTCCCCACACTTTTGTTTTTATTATTCAGTTGTTCAGTGGTGAACAACTGCTCTTGGTGACCCCATTTTGAGGTTTTCTTAGCAAAGATAATGGAATGGTTTGTTATTTCCTTTTTCAGCTCATTTTATAGATGAGGAAACTAAGGGAAACAGGGTTAAGTGAATTGCCCAGGGTCACACAACTAGTAAATGTCTGAAGCTGGATTTGAACTCAGGAATATGAGTCTTCCTGATTTCAAGCCCAGTGCTGTATCCACTGTGGCATCTAATTGCCTCCCCACTCTCATCTAGTAACTCTTTTCTGGTTGGCTGGATGCCCTGATCTCCACCAATCAGAGAGTCAAGGGTTTGGGGGCGGCACAAACTGCTACAATTCAGAAGTAGAGAAGAGTTTCTAGTTACTGGGTGGATTTGGGGAAGGGGTGGGTGTGGGGAGGTGGATAGCACAATTCCTAGCTTCCTTAGAAGCATATCTCAGGGGCCAATCCTGTATGAGACCTTTTCTGAGGTCCCCTTATTTAGCACTCTCAACTTTTTGAAATCATTTTGTATTTATACAAATACCAGTATTGAATAAGATTCTGGAAGTTCCTGTTGTGGAAGGAAACAGTGCTATTAGTTGTTTGCATACAGCTTCTAGCTATGAGGCAGAGGTGATACTCCTCACCTCATTTACCAGGATGGGTTGGGCCTGCCCTGGGGAAGGAGGTAAGCTAAAGGCCTGGGAAGGAAACAGATTGAGAAAGGGTTCTTACTGTAAGGTGACTTAATGTTTCCTGCTTTAGAGACAGGGACTGGCCTATGTCAGCTGATACCATTCAAATGAGTCATGCTAGGCTAGCTCTGATATGGATCATTCATTGTGGATTGAATGAAGTTCTCGGGTGAGTCTGAGTCTGATATGAAGGCAGCATCCCTACTTGTTTCTTGCAGTGGTCTAAGCTGAATATACCTGGGCTCCTTGGCAGGAGGCTGTGACCCAAACTGACAGCAACTCTGTGACTCCATATACTCTATATAGGCAAGATGATCCAAAAGATAAAGTAGGACAAGACTTCTTCCACTAAGACTTCTCCCCCAGCCTCTCTCCACTAGGTGCAAGGGGGCCATCCCCAGTCATCCTGATCTATGTCTTGCCACTGGACCCAGATGGCTCTAGAGGAGAGAGTGAGGCCGGGGACTTTTCACAGCCCTTCCTCACTTAAATCTAATTCACTTGCAAGTCATGAAGTACCAGAACTGAGGACAAACAACAACCACTAAGTACTCTAAGTACTCTCTTCCATTGTTGGACAATTATCTCAAAAAAAAAAAAAGAAAAGAAAAAGAACAACTAAATAAACAAAACTGTAACAATAATCTGGATCATAGAGTCAGGGAGGGAGAATTTGTTCCTTCCTTCTCCTCTAGCTGATTTTATCACAAGATGCAAATGTAGATGACAGTCTGTTAACAGACAAGGCATTATACCAGCAATTCCTTTACTAAGTATGAATACTTGTCTCTCAAATTTGGAACTATTCCCAGAGGGTTATAAAACAGTGCATATCCTTTGACCCAGCAATACTGCTACTAGGTCTTTAACCAAAGAAAATGAAAAAAAAAAAAAAGCAAAAGGACCTATATGTACAAAAATATTTATAGTAGCTCTTTTTGTGGTGGCTAAGAATTGGAAAATGAAGGTATGCTTATCAATTGGCGAATGGCTGAACAAGATGTGGTATGTGGTTGTGATGAAATACTGTTGTGCTCTAAGAAATGCCAAGCAGGATGCTTTCAGAAAAACCTGGAAAGACTTATATGAACTAAGGCAAAATGAAGTGAGCAGAACCAGGAGAATGTTGTACACAATAACAGCAACACTGTACGATGATCAACTGTGAATGACTTAGGTATTCTCAGCAATACAATGATCCAAGACAATTCCAAAGGATTCATAATGAAAAATGCTGAGTACCTCCAGAGAAAGAACTGATGGAGTCTAAATGCAGAGTGAAGCATAATTTATTATACTTTCTTTATTTTTCTTGGTTTTTTTTTAATCTGTGTTTTCTTTCACAACATAACTAATATAGGAATATGTTTTGCATGACTGCACATGTATAAACCTATTTCAAATTGCCTGCCTTCTTGATAAGGGGGCAGGGGAGGGAGGGAGAAAATTTGGTACTCTAATTTAAAAAAAAACTAATGCTAAAATTGTTTTTACATGTAATTAAAAATATTAAATGTTAAACAATAAAAAATATGTCTCTCTGATTGAGAAAGTAGCAATGCCCTCAGAAGAATGAGAATTGGTCAGTGCCCTTAAAGGGCTTTAATATTAAGCCTTGGACAGTGGAGAAGTATTCACACTTACTAAAGAAATCATTGGGAATTAATATATTGTTAATACATTAACATCTCATCTATAGTTACATCCTTTGACTACATCAGTTGAGCTGGAGGAGTTGGGGAGACAAATCTCCCTTCCCTTGCAATATATTTAGAGCTGGATAGGATCTCTGAGATTATCTAGTTCAGCCCCTTCATTTAACAGTTGAGGGAGTTGAGGCCCATGGAGGCAATGTGATATGTCTAAGGTTACATGGGTAGTAAGTGGCAGAACCGAGATTGGAACCCAGACCAGCAGTCCTTGACATGTTTCAACATACCTACAATGCTCTACATTCTTTACAACAAGGCCAGTTTCATTCACTCCGTTCTCTTTTCCATCCCTAAATTAATGATCAGCTTACTTCTGGGCATCCCTAAGTGATTTGCCCAGATTCACACAGCTAGTAAGCGAGGTTAGATTTGAACCCAAGCCTTCCTGACTCCAGATCCATTGCTGTCTCCACTCTGCCACCTAGCTGCCTTTAGTGGTGAGAATTGTGGAAGCCCATGCATTTTCTTTTTTCAGCCCTCAGCTTCCCAGTCTCCTGACTCGTAGATAATAGAAATTGTCTCCCTCTAGAGGAGCTTCTCAGGGAGTTAAGCATCTTCTTACTTTTTGGGCCTTACTTTCTCTTGGTGAGAAAAGCAATACATAAGTAGAGCACCATAGTGGTGGGTTGTTGTGAAAATGAGTTCTAGAGATAAG